GATGAAGACGACGTCTAACCTCTATGAAAATAACATTCTTCAATAGATTTTGATGTAGTGACAGATTAGTCTTCTATCAATTTTTCAGCAAATTCATTTGAATTTCTATAACATTGCTAGAGTTTTCACTAGGGGAGATACAGGAGATGGTGTGGGAGTATATGTGGGTTTGGGGTGTGATGTGTGGTCGTGGATATGGGCGTGAGTTTTAGCGAAGAGAAAAACTGACATCAGCCTCAACACCAACACCACACCCTTACTTTATTGGTGGTTTTACTTGCTTAATTTAGTCTCCGTGTATAGCGGTCACGTTTTTCTCATCATGGAAGCTAAACTGATTGTGTTTACAATCCTGTGCCACTTCTATGCAGCATAAATCTTTATTATTTTGTGCTGTAAGTTTCGCCATTTTTCTAAAATAGGGTGAAAAAGCTTATTAGCGCAGCCCCTCTGGGGTGAGTATGTGGGTGTGGGATGTGGATCTGTGGTGTGGGGTGTGGATGTAGGTGTAGGTTTTTTCACTCAAACCCATCACAGCTACAGTCACACCCACACCTACATTCATCCACATCCACCCACACCCACATCCCACACCTACTCATACCCACACCTTCATCTTAAATATAAAATCTCAAAGAAATTCATACATTGACCGAGTCATGGACCTGAAACGGGTAATTTAATTTAATTTCATAAAGGAGTAGATATATTGTTTTGTGTCACTCACTTAAGAACTAGATAATTGAGAAACTTGATTTATACTGAAGAACAAATTTAAACTGAAGCGGAGAGAGTTTTTAAGGATGGTGGGCACTGCTCTCTCAACCACAATTTCCTGGATACGCCACTAGCATTCACACACCTAGTTTCATGGAAGAAACCGCTAATTTAATGTCATTGTAATCACATGAAACTAACGTAAACTACCGCAGTCAATCAAAGGTAGCGAATTCGTTTCGGTATAAACATTTTTCGATCAAGAATCTCCATAGTTGAAGATGAGAGTGCTGATATATTAACATAGAGAAAACTCATAATCTGCTTGAGTATGGACACGAAAAACATCGTGGAAGATAATACTCGACTAATGGGGTTAGAGTAAGACACTTTTCACTAGATTTTTTAGTTTGAGAAATATTATCAATATAAATCTGATTTACTGTGGATTCTTTTTCTGTAGCTTACTGAATCTTATTGTTTTAAATAATTTAATGATTTTTTTAGTTCCAGAAACGCAATGACATGATTTGACAATAGTTTGCATTGTTGTCGATTGAATGCAGAAAAAAATATTATCAATAATTAACTTTTACATTCTAAATTTTGACAAAATATTTATTTTAGTTTATGAATAAAAAAATGAATTGATTAGAAAACAAAGGCCCGTTTTATTTTCAACGTTAATTGAACCAAACCTCGAGTTGATTATTTTAATCATATTCAAAATGATCTATTGATATATCATTCTGAAATTCTTTTTTTCCAATATCGATAAAGATTTTGACAAGATTGTTTTATTTGATATTTATCAATTGATGGCCATGGATAATGATCAATAAGATAACCAACAAGACGATTACAATCATTAGCATATTTTAAAGGCTCTTGCATGTGACAATGCCATATAATATCGATCTAAATATAAAAATCTTATTATAATATAATTAATATTAAAATAATTACTGCATATGTTGGATGAATGAGATCATATTGCTGAGTTGGTGGATATTTTGCTGTTATATATAAAAATCTTTCATAAGATTTTTTTAATCGTCTCATTGCTGATGAGTTTAGATCGATTGGTTTTAATGGATTAAAATTCCAAAAATCCATGTACATCCGCAAACAGATATGATTCATAAAACATTTGCATGAGTTTATCCAATTGGCATCAAGAATAATATCAGCTTCTGTAAATGAAAATGGATTTTCATAATCATTGAGAGGATATGATGAAAATTGAAAATATGTTTCATCCCAATAAGAATAAATTGGAATTAAACATTGAAATCTATGAAAATAAGGATAAATATATTTAGATGAAGACATTTTATCATTTTGATATAATGGTAATGAACAATATTGCTCATGAAAATGTTTTTCATATAAATGTAAAGTATCTAAAAAAGCTTGTTCTTTAACAGATTGCTGAGTATGATTTAATAATAATGAATGATCAATAATTTGATGAAATAATCGAAGACAATCATTTTGATATGTTAAAAGTCTTAAAAGATGTGTTTGCCAAACTATTTCAATATCTATAGTTGGAATAAGTAATTTTTTAGGATATAAAACTTTTAATTGCATAAATCGATAATATCGTCTAATCATTTGTTGTAATATCACTGATTTACGCCATTTTTTCTGAAAATTTGAAGCTTTTTCTAATAATGATATTAATACATGAGCAGTTTCGTCAACATCAACTGATAATTGAATAGTCCTATAGAAGATAATCAAAACTTTGAATGAATCAAACGTTGACTTACATATTTAATGATGAATTTGGATGTTGATTAAATCCAAATATAGGGGAAAATGATTCATTACTTTTTGATCCAACAAGATACCGAGAAAGTGAATATTTCAATCCACAACCTACATTCATTGTTCGATATTTTCTCTCAAGTCTTTTTAATTCTTGATTTTGAAGATATTTTTCAAAAATCCAATCAATATAAATTTGTTTATATGATTTTGAATTTAATTTGGTTGATACTATTTTACATTTAAATGAATTCAAAATAAAGAAGATAAATCTGACTTACTATTGCATCTTGTTTTCCATATGGTATCTTGATCAACAATCATTTTAAAATATCGACAAACTAATGAAACATTTTCTAGATCACGAACTGATAGTAATCCAAATATTTTGAGCATAATTTCAGTAGGCATATTAATAAATGGGGAATTTAATAATGCATTTTGTGTTTTATCGACTGTCCAGAGATGTTTCCAGGTTATTTTTCGAGGAAAATCTTGTATTTCATTTTCAATAAAATCAATGGTTTCCGATTCATCTTCTTCATTTTTCGAATTTTTATTTAATTTATCAGCTAAAATGGTTATTTGTGTACTTTTTTATTTTATACCAAACATGTAGAGTATTGAGATACAATTTTATAGTGAACTATATATTACCAATCGTATTCATTTAGAATACAGTTATATGAGTGGCTCATGAACCATCTCAGAACGCGTAATAAAAAAAAACATTTTTCAGGCAAAAGACTTTTTTTTGTCAAATGTTTGAACACTATCGAAATACTTTTCTTATCATATTTTTCTGCAAGTTACCGATGAGAAAAATATAGATACAAAATTATAATCATGACTGTAATTTTTCCAATGAAGGTTCTCCAGTGAAAAATTATCGTTTCACACAAAGATTGACGATGGTTGTAGGCTAGAATAGCCTATAGTTCGTTGGTTTTTCATTCGAAAGACAATCTGACAGTTGAGATGATTACCTAGTTGATTTATTAAGTTTTGTACAAGCACACACAAAGAAGAGAAGAGAAATATGTCTGTTTATATAGATTGTCAGTGAAATATTGCTTCTTAATCGTACAACTCATCTTTGTAAGACTAATATTAGTATAGGTAGGGGCTTACTCTGTTTGAAATTGGTTCGCTCACATGAACATAGAAGACATAGAATACTTTTCATTCTTTTGTATTTCCACACAACTTGTATGAATGATCGTCATTTGATCATGTATCACACAGATTATTACACAAAAAAATGCGTAAAAGAAAGAAAAACATGTAATCAGTAGTGTTCTTTTTTGTCTGCTTTTCTCCCTTATTATTAGACATTCAATTAGCATTGTTTTTGTTTGTTTTTTTCTCGATTCTGTTGTTCTATCTTTCATCTATCGTTATGTACCAAATGAATAACATAATAGTCAGTGATCAGACCTTTGTAGATGACGAAACGATCGTGTTTTATAAGTTATAAATATGATCGAGAATTTTGATTGTTAATATATAGAAATAGAAACTGCAATTTGATCCATAATCAGGGTTCTAAGTTCACTTGATTTTTCATAGTTAAACAACAATATATTGTCCCTATTTCATCAAATGCATCGCTTTCTAATAATTCATCCTAGTCCATTGTCGAATATCATATTAAACAATCATAACAGTTGAATCGATAAGTATATTAGATGTTTGTAATTTTAGAACAAAAAAAATATTGATCGAACAATTGTGAAAGCGTTCCAATGGATGGAAATGATTTACAATCGATACATTGTTTGCTATATCTTTAACTTTGTCTTCTGTACTCTCTCCTTATTAATATTTTCCAAATAAGGTTATTTCGATTTTTTGAGAAGAAACAGAAAAGAAAAGTATTTATATTCAATAGGTTCCTTTTTTATAGTGGAACTCACTAACACACCTACAGTAACATAGTTATACAAATTGGTGTTTACTAGCTTATTTTATGGCAATGGAAACTACAAGTAACGCTCGTCGCTGTGCGATTCGCTTAACCCTCGACTGACGAGTTTAGAGCAACGATATACTATTTTAACTTACCCCGTAAAACTTTAAGAATATCAAGACTAATGAATCGTCTCTGCCACAATAATGTTCTAATTGACTTTCAAAATGTGCTCAGCTTCAAATGATAGTAATATCTGCATATAAAGTTGCTATTTCGTGCTAGCGTTTTGATTANTATAGAAATCGTTTTTTTCGATAAATTTGACATGCCGATTAATTCGAAAGTTGTATATATAATCTGATGAACGATAAATCTAGTCTGTGGATACACTTCGCGCCATGAGCTTAGTCTGTGCGTCATCTACTTTTGTCCTTGTTTGAATAAAGTTCATAGAACAATTGATGAGATTTTTATTGAAAGAAAAAACTAAATATATATTTAAAAATATTATCAAAAATCTGAGTTTAAAAGTCTTGTTCTTAGATAAATGGTAAAACTTTTCGTTTTTTCAACTTCAAAATATGTTCTTAAAAACATAAGTTCACATGAAATCTGCAGGAAAATACAATGAATTAACTTACAAATAGATTGATGAATATTTTATTTGTTCTCGTTCTCATCATTTATAAAGAATTGCACACCTCCAATCGTTTTTAAACTCATAATATGATTAATTTTCAACAGAGCTTTCTGTAGCCTTGATCGCAATTGTCTCCCGCAAAGACACATTATAAGTGTGTGCTTGCAAGAGATAACTACAACCGAGACTACAGCAATTTTATGGAAATATATACTTAACACGTGTATCTTCAGATCGTTATATTTAATTAAAAACATAAAAGACTAAAATGAAATGTTCTAACATAATTGCTAATCAGACTCGTTGCATTGGACAAAAAAACTCGTCTAAAGAACATATGGATAGAATATTAATTGATGAGTTGCTGCTCTTCCACTAATAATAATAAAAAATGTTTCGAAAAATATTTCACAACAGAAAGAAAAAATTTAATTTATCATATAAACACAACATACGTAACAAAGTATCTTCAATATTATTGACTTCTGAGCTTATAGGAGAATTGTACAAAATGATTCATCACTTTTCAGCTTGTATTTTATACAGGTAAAAAGGATCGCTAGATTAGAATAATTCAAATAAATTTCGGCTTCATAGGCTTCCTCTATAGAGTTACGACTGTTGTCCTCTTACTCAGGAAATAGAGGTCTCGTCTTCACCTACGTCTGTCCTGTAAGAAACCATGACCACAACTTTGATATGATATGTATCTCTAAGAGACATAGGGTATATTTGCATATACGCCATCTAATAAAGCTTGATGAATAATACGAAAATATTAGGTAACATTAGCAAATTTACTTCGACAGAGATATATTTTCTCAAAATCAGGTTTTTCAAGTATACTGTTTACACGGAGAAGCTTTTTACTCAATATAAACGTGGTCATTTTTTATTATGCAGCAGGCTGTTGGAACTAGGCTATAATAAAGACTGGTTTTTGAATTTCTCTTTTACTGAAATAAAAAACTAATATCTTTGCTTTCAATTAGCGATCCTTTTGGCCATGGATTCGAGAGCTTTTGAAACTAATGAATTGACTATAACTCATGAATATCTTGAAGATTTGGTAAAGATATTTTATCCATAATCTATTCTTGATTTCCTTCATTTTCAAATACATTTTCTTCTTATTTTTATTTTCTTGTTTTATCTTAAGATGTTAAATAAAAACAAGCAAAACAAAAAACAAGTAATAAAGAAACAAAACAATTCTTTGCCGATGTTGATCCGTACGATTGAGTCTTGTTGCTGTTGTTGTTGTTTTTTTTTTTATTTTTTCTTGGCATCTTTGACAGCAGCTTTCTTTATACCACGTACTTTTTTCATACGATTTTTACGTTCTTTACGTTGTTTTCTTGCTGTTTTCTTTGGTTCAGCAAGACCTTGTCGTACAAGATGATGACGTGGTTCAAATTTTTTTGCAAAATCAAGTGTATCATAGATAAGTGCAAAACCAGTTGATTTACCACCACCAAAATTCGTATTAAAACCATAACAAAAAACAAGATCAGATGTTGTTTTATAAAGTTGTGCTACTTTTTCACGGATGTCTTTTTTCGAAAGTGATGCACGATCAGGATGAAGTACATCAACAACCATTTGTCGACGACAAAGTAATCGATTGGATTTAAATTTTCGTGTACGAATTGTACAAGCTGAATCCGACATGATTTATGCACTAATCTAAAAAACAAAAATAAATACATACAGATATATATATATATTATTGTTGACGTGAAGCTTTAAATTTTGATATTCGTTTCGGAGGTTCAACTGTAGTTGTTACATCTCGTTCGATCATTTTTCCAGTAAATGCTATTGGTTTATTAGGACCAATAGCACCTGGATGGGGAAAAAGTGCTGGTGATGGATCTCCGATAGGTACAGAATAAGTTTTTGTATGATGAATAAAAATTTTTTTAAATTGTTGATTTGGTATATCATCATCATTATCACTATCAACATCCATTTGATTATCATCAAAATGTACTTTTTTTTTTGTTTTATTTTCATTCATTTTTATAGCACGTTCTTGTAATTGACGTCGTTCTTCACGAATTTGTTCTTCAGTTAATTTTGCACGACGATTTAATGTTTTTTTTTCTTGTTTATTATTATTATTAATATCATCATCAGTTTCTTTAATTTCAAAAAATTTTGTTTTATCATCAAGAAAATCATTTGTAAATTTTTTTTGTTGATTAAATACTTCTTTTTCTTTTTGATGTTTATCAAGATTTTCATCAATATTTTTAAGACGACGATTAACAATATCAATTGCTTGTTTACATGAACGTTCAACAAAATAATTTTCACCCAATAATACAAGAATTTCATTTGAATGTATTATACGACCAGGTATAAAAGCTAATTTACCAAATGGTACCATACATTCATATGTTAAACGATCAGGTAATGTCGAAAGACGTGTATGTAAATGATGATAATCATTTTGAAATTGTGTCCATTTAGCAATTTGTTTATCAACTTCATCTATATAAGATGTTTGTTCAGATATAAGACGTTGAAATGCTTCGAGAGAATCAGGTTTAAGGTCGGACATTATTTTACTATGTGAAATAAAAAACAAAAAAGTAAATACGTTTTTATCAACAAGTAAATCTATTTAACCAATCGTATAATGTGTCCGATAAATTCCTCCGTTGATTGATTGGTCGATCCAAATTTTGTTTCATGTCCATTTGTTTACTTGTTTATTATACGAGAAGTCGAATTGAACTATTTAATAAGAGACGATATTTTCGAATTTTGTGATTAGTGTCATGGGTGAAATAACAGCTTCTCTCGTTGTCATAGAATCAATTGAAAATATTGATAATGAAACTATTCAATTACATTTAAAATGTGAAAATTTGAATATACATGGAATTCAAACATTAAAATGTCTTGATGCTATGCGAAAAGAGCGACAATTATGTGATGTTATATTAACTGTTGAAGGTCATGAATTATTTGTTCATCGAGCTTTATTATCTTGTCATTCAAATTATTTTCGTGAACTTTTTCTTAATGATGAAACAGATACATTGAAAAAAAAACAACTTTATTATCAAATCGATGGTCTTGAATATACAGCTTTAAAATTAATAGTAAAGTTTATTTATCAGGGAAGGTAAAAAAAAGAAAAAAGTTCATTTTTATTAAAAAAAAAAAAACAATATTTTTCTTTTCTTTTCTTTAGTTTTCAATTAACATCAGATATGGTACCAAAAGTTTATTTGGCTGCACATCAATTACGTGTTGAAACAATTTTTAAAGCTTGTTCAAATTATCTTATTGAACAACTCAATGCACACAATTGTTTGAGTATGTTCTAACTTATGAGAATATTTTCTCGTCATATTCGAACTTTCCAAGGTGACTTTAAAAAAAAAGTTTTTATTTCTTATTCAATTATTGTGAACTTATCTAATGAAAATCTACAATGTCAATACTAGATGAAGATATTTTCTTTGAAATAAGCATGTATAATAAAGTTTTAAGTATGCTTATCAGTATACGAGAAAAATTCCTTGACTATCTAATCTTTTTTGAGTCGAGACTGTATTTGATGTCGGTTTGGACAAACTATGAATATCCATAAAAAAAACCTCTCTTAGGAATACTAAAAAAAAATGATTTTCGATTCGAAACTTTGCAAAAAGAGAGAGACTACTGTGAGAATAGATTGTTGTGATAACTTCTGATTTTTTCTTTGATTTTTATCCTCAAATTAGAACATCAAATCTGTTGGCGAAGATGAGCGATGTATATGACATGTTTTTACCGTTGTCGTATCTTAGAAATTGAATGATAAAAAGATTTGAAACTTTCACAATAAACTATTTCATTCACGGTCTATTTTTTGTACAAAATTTCAAATAGCAATTCGTAAATTATTTCTCTACGACTTTGGCTTAAAAAATAACATAAAAATACAATAAGCTAATGACCTATATTCTTTTCAGGATATTCGTAGCTTATTAGGACCCACACGATACACGAAATCTCGACACAAAAGCAATTAATCAATTGTGGAAGTTCCCTTGTTTTTATGTGAAAATGTTTTTAAAACTCTTAATCACAAGAGAATCAAAAATTGAGTAACGACAAAAAAAAAAACAGACCAAGTAAATCATGACTCAACATCTATCGAGAAGAAGAGTTGTAGTCTCGGTTTAACTTTGTCTCAATTGATTAGCAAAAAAAATTATGTCGTTCATTTCTATTGAAAATCAAAAAGTTCATCTTTGATGTATATCTATATGTAATGATCAAAATCTAACTTTGAAACTACACCGAAATCGATAATTTTCCAGGGGTTTTAATCATAGATCATTTATTTCTTGTACATAAATCATTGAAAATATCTACTAATATGTTCTATCATAACACAATAAAGAAAATTTATGAAATTTTATTAGTTTCTTGGACTTGATTTTTTTTCAATTAGAAACAAGAAAAACATTGTGTTCTTTTTCTAGGTACACGTCTAATGGCAATTGATGATGATCTTCGTATGAAAGCAACTGAATGTATTCAAAATCATTTTTTTGCTGTACTTGAAACACGTGAATTTCATGCATTACCATCTATTAAAATTGAACTAGTCGGTAAGAACAAAAAATCTAAATCTTCATGAATTTATTCATATGTTAAATTATAGTAGGTTCCACAACACTTAATACAAATATAATGTGTGATCTTATATTAAATTGGATTAGTCAACACCTTCGTAAAGATAATAGTACACTTCAAGAACTTGGTGAATATGTATGTATAATTCAGAAAAAAAAAACAAGAAAAATAAAACGTTTTAGAAAATTATTTCTAGATGCATTTACTTTATCTTAATTGTGATAAAACACTTCATGATTGTTCGGATATGGATAAGAAAAATATGTATTTTTCTGATATAATTAAAGTAATATTTATTGAATTTAATTTTCTATTTTCTATATGTTTTATTTAGGATTATCAAAGTTATAGATTAACAAAAAGAAGTTTATCAACATCATCACCATCAGGTAACTCAAATGAAAATTCAATTTTTACAACACCAAATTTAAAATTAATTAATAATAATTTAACATCAAATGTAACAAATGATTTACAAGCATTTGAAACAAAACTTATTCATATTGATCAATCAACAGGTTTGATTATACATTATTAACATAGAATCATTTGCTCTAAATTCTTTTTTTTTCCATAGAATATACTTATATTGCTATTGCTGTTGTTAAAGGAAAAATGTTAAGTATTGCTATTCACATGTCACCATCTTCATTATCAACACCAAATACATCTGGAAATGGTCATTTGATACATACAGATAATATTGATGACAATGAGTATGTAACAAAGCTCTTTAGTCCAATTTTAACTACTGATAAAGAGATTCCATTGGCTTCACTTTCAACAGCACGATGTGGTTTTGGTATTATATCAACAAATAATACAATATATGTTGTTGGCATGTTGTTTTTGATTATAATATATTTTTATAATTGAGTTTTTTTTTTCAGGTGGATATGACCGTGGTGATTGTCTCGATACAATCGAACAATTTAATCCAATAGAAGGTAAATGGACATCGTTATCAGTTCCCATGAGTAGTCGACGTGGTCGTGTATCAGCTGCAATAGTTAATAATAAAATTTATGTCTGTGGTGGTAGTAATGGACAACAAGAATTAAATACAGGTGAATATTTTAATTTAAAATCTATGAATAAATGGTCACCAATAAAAGATCTTGATACACCTGTTGCTCATGGAGGTATATTTCTATTAAAATAATATACAAATTTTTTTATTTTATTTGAATATTCATTTAGCTACATGTAGTGATGATTCTTATGTATATTTAATTGGTGGATGTGAAGGTGATATATGTAAAAATGATTGTTATCGATATGATCCTGAAAAAAATCAATGGTCAACATTAGGTTCAATGAATTGTGAACGAAGTCAAGCAGCTGCTGTATATTTTAATGGTAAAATTTATGTATTTGGTGGTTATAAATCAAGTCGATGTTTATCATCATGTGAAATTTTAACATTATCAACAAATGAATGGTCTATTGGACCAACAATGCGTGAAAATCGTCGTGGTTGTGGTGCTGTTTTATATGAAAAAAAAATTTTTATTATTGGTGGTTCAAATGGTGTTACATCATTAACATCCATCGAAGTATATGATCCTATAACAAGCGAATGGATTATAAATATAAATGGAATGCCAAATGAATTAAATATACCACGTGTTGGTGTTGGAATTACTGTATGTAATGAAAAACTTTATGTTATAGGTGGTTTTGATGGAAGAAGTTTTCTTAAATCAATTGAAGTTTATGATAAAATCAATCAACGATGGAAATTAAGTAACAATAATCATAATAAATCAGAGAAGATGAATCATCAAAACTCGAATGATATGAAAACGTAATGAATTACTTCATATATTTGTTTATAATTTTTGCTATTGGTATTATATTGAAAAGAACCTTCTATTGAAAAAAGAAAAGAAATCGTCTTTCATTTTTTTTTTGTTTTTGTTTTCTTATGATATATATTTCTCATGACATGTTCATCTTCTATTCTATACATTGTTCTTCTTTTTTCTGTCTCTATACATAGATATTAAAAAATATTGATAAGTAGATTTGGAATGAATTTAATCATGCACTTTTTGTTTTTTGTTTTTTTGTTGTATCTTAACCAATTAAAATAGAAAAACATATTTAAAAAACAAAAAGAAGAAAAGAAATTAATTAATGATCATCAAGTTGCATGGAATTTAAAGTTTGTTGAATTTGAACAAGTTCTTGTGTATCTAATTGAAGAATATCTGATTGAAAAAGTAATTGTTGACATGTATGTTCTATTTTATTAATATGATCTTGTGTTACGAGAAGTTGTTGATCAGTTGTTGAAAATTGTTTTAATGTTGTTGTTAAATAATCATTTGTATGAGAACTTTTTATGATGGATTTTACAAGTGCAGCTAATGAATTTATAGATGATTGAGCTTTTGAACATATATTTGCTTTGGCATCATCATTTGAAAATGATATAGGTAAACCAGCAACTGGTGTTGTCATTATTTAGTTAAGTTGTGTTTTGCGTTTTGTTTTCTTCTCATATTAAGAAAGATGTAGAATGGAATTATATGGATCGACAAAAATTTATCAAATCATAAATAAGCAATCTAATCATAAGTTTTGGATACTAGCGCCTCTACAGTATGAGGAAAGCAAAACAAAAACGCTGTATACAATCCTAGATACAAGTAACTGCCCCATAGAGTACGTCGGTTTGATTCTGAACCCAGAGAGCTCTAGGCATCTAAGAAAGTTATAGTTTTCAATATCGTAATATAAGACCCTCCTTGAAGGAACGATACATCAGACGTAGTAGAAGATGCTGCCCTGAATCAATTAATTTTTCGAAAAATTAAAAACTTAATTATTGTATTAATGTCAAAATATGTGTAGTTTTTCACAATTTTGAGCTGAAAATCTTACAAGTCTGAGATCAATGTTATTTCTAGCTTTTACACTTCTAAGTAGTTTTCTGAATACCTTGATATTGTCACAATTGCATGGAATAATAGTTGGAAAAACTGGAATAACAAAACGAAATCTTTTACTATGTTTATTGTACCAAAGCATGAACTGAAACTACTAGCGATTTAGAGTTTTTGAGCGTTGGTTAAAAACAGTTCAGAAAAATGACCTTCAAATTTCGACTTATACAATTTTTAGTTCGTATTGAATTGAAATCTGGTGGCTNTGCGACGGCTCAAAATCTTGATGCCCGAGCGTAGTCACAAGGTGCTTCGCTTTTTCCAACATTAACGGTCCATTGATCGTGGCATTTTGAGCTCTCATTTGATGGAATCAAGCAATAAGTGCTTCGCCGATTTCTTCATTCGGACTTTCGCGTTTTCGTTTTTGATTTAAGTTGCCATTGCTCAACGCTATTTTTCTGATTTCTTCTTCATTTTGCCTTATCTTCTTCACCGTAGAATAACTGATGTTGAAATCTTTAGCCACTTCGTCTGGCTTTTTCGATTTCAGTGCTTTCAAGATTTCCAATTTTCGCTCAATCGATAATGTGCAACGTTTGCCGCTGGTAGATACCATTCTCTCAAAAATATAGATTCAACGAAGTTAAATATATATCACCTTTTGGATGGATGAATATCTGATCCCTTTATTGAAGAAACAGCAAGTATATATACATAGGAAAGAGACAATAGACGGACTAGAGAAAAAGTCGAGAAGCTTCGTCCGTCTGTTTAGAAAATGAATAATAGACAGAAAAGACAAGGGTTCTTCTTACTCAACAAAGACGTCAGTTAGGAAATGTGAGTAAGACGAAAAAGAGCATACGTGCAACAGATGAATAGAAAAAGAAAAGAACAAGAACATACAATATGGCTCTTTTATGCGGACTCAAATCGCAAAAAAGTGCCGAAACAAAGCTCTTATAAGCGAACCGCTCCTTTATCTGGAGCTCTTATAAGTGGACTCGACTGTATAATCATAGCACCGACTTGAACACTAATTATAGATCCGAGTGCCACGCACGTTTTTATTATTAGCGACGAAGATGGTGCAAGAACAAGTAAGACCAAAATATTGTAGATGAAAATGTCTCCAAAACCAAACGATTCACTTGTTTCCATTTATGAACACCTTTAATATAATTAGATGCCTCAAAGACACATTTGTTGTTCATTCAACTCTCTTTTGATCGATTTTGAATCGGAAACGGAACCTCGATGATGTAAGCAAATGAATCTAAATAGTGAAACAAAAATAAAACACCTTCAATCCTATAATTGAAATTTCGATCATTTCATACAATTCTAATGACAACGTAAAAGAAAAATTGTCAACCTAAAGGGAAATTTGAGTTGTTCTGACAAAAGATACCTAGTGATAATCATCAAAAGTGCTACTAAAATAAAAAAAAAAAAAGATTAAGTCTAAAGAAATTTTTGATAAAATTTTTAACTGATTCACATGGCTTCAGTGAATAATTCTAATACTTTCAATCATCTTCATCTCTATTAAACTATATTCGAGAATGTATCAAATGTATATTTTTTTGTCACAGATCATATCGAACACATATTTTTTTATACCAGGGTACTCTTAACCATTTAAATATAGTTCAATTCGACATACATGCCAGTCAATCTAAAAATAATGAGTATACCGAGGATCACTCCAGTTTATGAAGCACTGACCAAAATTCTAATTTTTGAAATTTTATGTGCATTTGAACAACCATCATCTAAAGATAGAACATGGGAAAACGAGCTACTTAAAATATTGTGCATCATTCATTTACTAAGCCACCATGAGTGGAACAGATCACAATTTACCACTATTTCCTTAACAGTGGGTGGGTAGTGCTAAAAATTCGATTAAAGATAATTGATGATAATTAGTTTTTCGAATGCGTATAAAAAATCAAAAAATTTAAATTGTGGCCAATCTTTTAGTACATTGTGTTCTCTTGTGAACAGTCTCTTAAATATTCTTTATCATAATCTTTCGTTATATCTATTTGTATCGAATTCAACACCCAGCTAGAAGTGTGGCCATGGAGGAGAAAATGCGGGCATCCACTTTTAGAAAATTGTACATGCACATTGTCAACTCTCAAAAAATTTCTTTGCCTTCTCCCTTTCTCCACTTTTTTCTCTTTTTCCCATCTCTACACTAAATAAGATTAAACAGTACTTTGCACCAAGTATACAGAACAAATATAAATCATATGAAAATTCATGAAATATATGGAACGAAGTCATTATAATTTAGTCTCTGTGTTTGGTGGCATTTCTATGAAAGTTCAGCATTGCAGATGAACCAATAATTTTTTATATACTATTAGAAAAATGAAAAATAAGACAATAATCAATAATAACATTGTTATTGAACGTCCATTATTTTTTAAAATTCTTTCACCAATAAATAAACTCTGATTTCACTCATCATGATATCTGCATGAATAGTGTCTTTGATTCTTTATTTTGAATACATATATATATATAATTTCAATAAACTTCATCGGAACATATTTTTTCTGTTACTATTATAGAAATAGATTCTTTTGTAATTTACATACAAGAATGTTATAATCAATTTAATTTACAAAATCAATTATATTAATAAGTAACATATTTTTTCAAATATTGGATGGACAATGAACTTACATGTCTATTATTGAGAAGATCCAAAGTCAACATAAGTAAATAATCAATTGAATAAAGTTGTAAAAAAGGACTGTCTCGTTGGGGTGCATGTTCCTTTATGCAATGAAGCACAAATGTTATAATCATACTTAAACTGGTAACTATCATAAGATGAATCATATAATGCATTTCTTATGTCAGTCAAGTAGACTTATATTGAATGCAACGAATACCAATTTATTTTATTCAGCTTTTTTCACAGAATTGTCGTCATGTTCGTCTCTGTTTAATTTATACTTAAATGGACAAGGATAGTCAATGCATATACAGAGAGTATATCGGTTGATGATGAAGATGACAGAAGTACTCATAACCATTGCTTTAGTAATTGACTTCAGTTAAATTATTTCCTTGTTAAATTTTTTAACTATAATAATTTGAAAGGTACAGCTGTCTGAAAAACATATGTCATTTCAAATAAGAATGAAGTAGAATAGGGCAGAAAATAAAACGAACTATTTGTTCCATGCTCTGCAAATCCTATTTTCAGTTTCAACCATCTATAGTTTCGATTGTTCGAAATATAAATCAGCAACAAATAGTTTTTGAAACAGTAGCTTCCTAATGGAAGTCAAAGATCAAAACAATTAGAAAGTTTGGAAGTGATCTTTCAAAGCATGTCATTTTAGTGAAAAATGATTTGTTCTCATGGACGCTAACGTTGAAATAGAGATTTACAATGACAAATGAAGGAGGCAGTGATGAACCGAAGCAGATAATATTGGTGTGTCGTGACTTTTTCGCATAGGGACAATATCTTTTCTTCAATAGAACGTAAAAAATGAATTTTAGCTATGCTGAAAAACAAAACGTTGATAGTGTGGAAGCAGGTGTTATAGAGGTCCCTTTTCCCAACACAATTACCATTTTTTTCTAAGTTTTCTTGATGTGAACATAAAAGAATGATATATTGATTAGCAACTCTTTTTTCTTTGACACAAAGAGAGTATCATCGCCTGATTCTTCTTCATTTTCTAAGTAAATTCATTAGTTTTAAGTTTTTTGATATCATGAATATAGTTCGTATGACAGTCCTCATTTCATGCTTCACAACGAAGTGTGGAAATTGGATGTTTTTTGCTACACACACACACACTCTCTGTTATTACTTGTATATGTATATTAAATAGCAATTAAAAAAGTCAAGTAAATTTGGCGAATAAATAATGTTGAACAAC